CATTTGCCCTCAGATGATGGGCTTGTGATTATGGGACGATAGTGAGACAACAATGGATATCCGGGTAAGAACGACAACTGTGTTAGCCATTGTCGTTCACTGTTCGCCTTTGAGATGGGGACGGGACGGGGCATATAAAGGGCTCTCCAGTTGGTTATGACGTTTTAAATCCAAATAAAACTCAAGAAAATATTTTGAACTATTGAAAATTGTCTTTATATCCTAACTTTACTACTTTTTATTATTTTTACTTTTTTTTACTATTTTAACAGTGGCTAAGTAAGTAGATGGATCAATAAAATTATCGTGAATCAATCGATCAATCAGTACATCTCGGTACAACCCAAAGGCCGTTCAGTTCCCGAATTCGCCAACCGTACCTGAATCTTATGCGATGATTTGCTGAAGACGTAGGTTTTTCCGACTGAATCAGGGATGGAAAGCGCCGAGTAGTATCGAATGAATCTTCGAGATTGTGCCAGATATCTGACTGCCTCCTGGTATCAAGGAAACGTTGGATGGAGAAACTAGCTCATACAGTTTTACTCCACCAAGTTGAGATTCTAGGATAATACCATCTTTTCGAAGTGATCGATCTCAATTTGCTCCGAAGTATAAGTTCAAGCCGTAGCCCCTCGTTCACAGTGATCACCAAAGTGTTGTAATTTCTTAAACTCATACAAAAACGAATTGCTGATGTTTTTAGTGCAGGCATATCTGGTGCTCTGGAACAGAATAATGCAGGAAACTCATCGAAAAAAAATCGCTCCTAGAACTTTCGCCTACGTAATTTGACTGTCAAATTCAGCCGTTTATACTGGGATTAGCTAGCTATTTTCGGATAGAAAACAGTGACCTTGCAATTGTTTCTGTTTGACACGTCTGGCAAGCTTTTCTGCCAGGCGCTTCCTCTCTGGTTGTATGAGAAATGAGTACCCGTGTAAGGACTTTAACGGGGCGAAAGCGCAGTACTGAGAAGGTAAAGACATTAAGCCTCCCAGGTCTATGCACCCACTATCACATTAACAAGATCTCTACGCTGTCGTTTCCTAAATCTGGAGACTGAACTCTTCGTTTCATCTGCTTGTACTCATTCGAGTATGTTATTTATTCTACTTTTCGAATCCCTCCCTCATCATCATCATTTTTGATAATGACGGTAGAATCAGATACGCTTCAGTATGTCACAGTAGGTAATCCTATCGAAGCAGCAGGGCGACAATTTGTTGCAGTTGTTAGTGTAGAGGTTATCTACCCTTGAGGTAACTTCACAAATGTGGGCTTTAATCTCATTTGGGCTTCAATTTCCCCTTTGTTACTCACAACTTGATGTGCTTGCCAACTGCTAGCTTTGTCATAAGTTCCCCATAGATTAGCTTTCCCATAGATTACCCAGAACTCAACTTTATATTGATTTTTTCTTCACCATAGGTTAGCCTAGGTCACAGGTTGACTCTTTCACCTTTTCTCAGCCTCTTTTTCCGTCGTTTTCCATGAATTGTGCGAAAGTCGTTTTTGTCACAAAATACTCATGGATTTTTTTGGAGTTATACTTTGCAGTAGTGTAGGAGACGTTTGAGAACTGTCAAGAAGTACTTCTCCAAAGTAGGCAACATCCCCAGCCCTGCCGAGCATCGTCTATCTATAACTGGACTGCCATTGAAATCATGGATCTCTGAACTGAAGGAACATCTTGGCGAGGAGACATATCAGGTGAGCTACGAATCCAGGTTAATAAAAACTTATTTTTATTCTTCTTTTGCTTCGAGTCGATAAATTGTAAGCTTACAATTGATCGGGACCTCTCCACGACGGCACTGTCTGCGATAAACATGTTTTCGAATATTGCTTTTGATATGTATCAATCTGTGGCCCCTGACGCGGCCATATGGGGCGTTGTCCGGTCCAAAACGTCCTGGATTTGGTTCGATAAGGGCTCGAAAACCGTCCCGACGCCCACTGCCGCTAAGAACGCTCAAGAAAGTGCGAGTTTAGTAGCCCCATAAGGGCTAATACTGTTCAAAACGATTCCTCTCTGACAACAGGACGTCTTTATCGTAGGCACAGCCGGAGCCTCCCATAAACAGGGCGGAATTGGTTGCGATTATGGGCTTTTTTTGCAGACAGCGATATTTGTAGGATTTTTTCGGAGACAAGGCACAGGGACATTCTATCTACCTATCTACCTATCTACTCTTGCCTCAAAGTTCTATATAAGCCAACAAAATCCTCATTTTCTTGCGTAGTATGCTTACCTGGCTTCTGAAAACTTTACCATAAGCTGAATATCTGCCCATACTTATCGGCCTAGCTACACAAGCGCTTCTGAGCGGAGTCTTTCCCAGGTTGGTCGGGGATATTACCTAAGAGGTTTCATCTCTGACGCTTCAAGGACTTCCCTTTCAAAGCGTTTTTTCAGGATGTGCTGCTTTTGATGTATGGCTTGGAACAGATTTTTTTCCTCTGAGAGGGACCACTGTACCTTTTCATTGAAGATTTTCAGATTCAGATCCAAGGGAAACACTGTAACACGCGTGGGTGGTAACACGCGTGGGTGGTAGCGATGTCGGCCCAGGCCGACCAAGCCTTTCTTCCCCAGGGTTGTCTAATTGGTGCGAAGCACGTTTGAAAGAACTGACCGACTTACTCACTGGCTGCATACCGCGAGTCATTGCACTGGCCAGTCTTGAAAGCCTGTACTCATGTCTGCCTCTGAGCCATCTCCCATATGAACCCCTTTGGGCCTGCAATTGGGAGCTCATCCAAATCATGTCGAAGGGATTTCCTTGCAGGGGTCTGCTAGTTTTTGAGGAGGAAACCCTAGAAAATTGTTGCTAAGTAACAAATGAAAAACAACGATTCTGTTTTCTACAGATCTACAACCGATCTCCGATGCCACCACCCAGTTACTAGGCTTCTGTTTACTTTACAGTAACAGTGCTTATATTCATGCTCACACACCGATTGCTCTTTCGGCTTTTTTTCACCTATCCGTAGGGCTATTGTATAACTCAGAAAATCCTCGAACGGGAAAAACCTTTGGGTAAATACGAAGCTGGTTAGACATAGACGAGCTGATTTATTCTGTGCGTCATAGGTTGTCAATTGTTTGATGGATGCTGCTGTTTTTGCAATGTTTTTCAACCAAATACAGAATATTGGTTCAAATCCTAGGGTGATTGAAGCCCATCTTCATTTATCTTCCCTGCGCTTCCCTATCACCTTCCCCCACCCTACCCCCCACCTCGATGCACTCTCCCCTCCCATACACGCCTCTGCCTGTTGCTAAGTGTTATAAAATTTTATTTTATTTGTGTTTATATAGCTTTAGGTAATTCATTCATGCATTTACATGACCTCGTTATTTACTGCTATGTTTTGTTTGTTTACAAAGTTTTCATGTTTTTATAGTGCATTTTGGTAAAAGTTTCGAGCCCTTCGAAGCCTTCTACCACCCAGCAGATGCCGGAGACTATAGCTATTTTGAAGATTCTAAGATCAGAAAGAAGTAATTTGTAATTCGAAAAGAAGTAATTGGAATAATTTAATTTGAAATAATTATTTTTGGGTTTTCAAATATAATTGAAATATGAATGGATGGTGTGTATAGTGGCAACTATATCTTCGACTATAATACAACTATGGTCCACGTCTCGGATCCTAGCTCGAACTCGCCTAGGCTAATCAAACTCCTATCTCTCCAGTGTCGTTTATTGAGCATCCGACTAACCTAAGACGTAAAATTTCCGCTCCGCTTGTCCGCTTGTACAACGGCTGGCCATACATATTCCATTCGTCACTACGGTTGTGAATGGAAATAAAGTACTGGGGAGCATCCTTCAGACGGGGTTGGTTAAAGGCAAAGTTCGCGATAAAAATGGTTGCTGAGATCACACCACAGGATGAATTTGAGGTCCCCGCGTATACCAGATCTGGCACTGTTAGGTTAGAAGACGGCCTCGTTAGGGAGTTAAAAGGGATGAAAGATTGGCCCGTGTGTATCCTCGGACGAGTTTCACCTGCATTGTAGAGGCTGCACCGATCACAAGGGAACCCATGTAGGAAGTTCAAACAACTTATCATGACCCCTAGCGACGTGAAAGACAGCTCTGTACAGTTCCGGCTTGATGTAGTCAACTCTTTGTGCAATTGCAATAACTGAAATCTCGTCCGAATACTCCCTCCATGTTATCTCCGTCATGACAATCTCGTCCAACCTCTATCTTCCGTACATTTGAGGAGCCACTTTTTTTTAAATCGATAAATTCTCTTGCTTCCTTCATTATCAGTGAACTATTCCCTTTCTATACTTCCACTTTTCGAATAAAAACGGGTACCTCAAAATGTGCCTTTAACGTCAAGAGCTTCATTCTTTATTAATTGTGGGTAGATATCTGAACACTAATTCCGATTGCGAAGCATTTTCAACAAGCAGCCACTTTTTAGAAGGTTCCTCTCGAATCCTTTGAACAGTATTGAACTTTTATATGATGGTAATTAGTGGTATGATTATCCTGCATCTCACTCTAACCGTCTAAATGTAGGTAAGGGTGTGATACAAATTAATGTTCACTGAGCATAAGTCAAAAATCCTGCGTGAAAATTGACGCGTAGCGCATTCCCGAAAATAGAAACCTGAGTAGCTTGGTTCCTTTCTTTTGCAAAACGATCACAGAGGTGTTGAAGCGTCAATCTTTCCAAGACATGATGCCAGTGGAAGCAGTTGATGAGAATCTAATGGAACTTCCGAAGCTGACTGATGGGCACCTCCCATTAGGTTCTATTCAGTTGGTTATTCACTCATTCACATGGATGATGACAAAAAAGGAAAATCTCCATTCCATTTGTTGTGTCTTGAATTATTCATGGAACAGCTGATCGGTAGACATTCTTTCTCAAAGGCTCATTTCCGCATTTTTTTTTTGTTATTTTTGTTAAATCAATGTTTTTTTGCTACGACGACGAGACTTTGATGGATTTTCAAATTTCCTTCAGAGCTAATGCATTGGAATACACTGGCCGTTGCTCTCTACCTGCTCACCGTCCTGACTGGAATATTCGGTAACATCTGGGTGATATGTTCGATTGCAAGAAGTCGAAAACCGAGGTCAGCACATACTGTTTCTTCTACTGCTTCCAAATATAAAACAAATATGCTTGGCATTAGTGGACGTCAACAAAGCCTTTATTTGCCCTCATTCGGATCTGGAAATGTCCCTCCCTATGAGGCTCAACACTCAATAAAATAGGTTTAGGTGGTCCATTCCGAAGAGGAATCCTCAGAGGAATCACTCGTTGGTGAGTGCTCTATATAACTTGGTAGATAAGACACACTCACCACTATCAAACAGCAGCTCTAGAATGTTAGGTAGTGGAACAGGGTCATGATAGGGAGTTCCTTAACAGTCGTCTACTGTTTAGGACTATTATCCTATGCATTACAGGCAGTAATCGATTACTCGAGTAAAAAGTGGGAAAGTGCCCAGTTATCCTCAGTTAGCGGTAGTTACGATGTATGACGGTTTAGCAGCCTAAGACGATCTTGGGATGCCCCAGCTAGACAGCAGAACCCAATCAATCAATAGTCCGTCCCTGGATGCGGTACATGGTCTTCGACCGTACGTGTGGGTGTGCCATGGGGAGAGCAGGTTCATCTACCATCCACCTTCCTTAACAAATAATGTTCATTGTTGGTGAGAAAATGGCCTAGGCGATATTCTGTCCAGCACTCCAGTTCTAGGTATACGGTTAGCGACTTCAGTCCAATCCGTTTCTGGTCACTTCTCCCCGAACGGCGCGTCGTGCTCACCGCACACGACAGTGCGTTGTGAAGAGAAAGATTCAAATTCCCGCAGGAAGGATGCAGAGAGTCGCCGTGGAACCACTGCCGTAGCCCGTGGGACAAGTACCCTCACCCGTCCCTCCTATACATGACAATTTAATGAGCTATCTTAAAACGCCGTATAACTCGCCTGATTCTGGGTGTAAACGTCGGCTAAGCCACTCTCAGCCCCTTACTACGCTCTATCTAGGCCGTTTTCCAACACGACAGCTTCCTTTGTGTTATCCTTCAGGGTCCTAGCTTTATTCTAGGGAGCGATCTCAGAAACCTTTTTCACCGTAGACTGTGCCTTTAAAGCCGTCAGGATAAGCATTTTCAGAGGACTACTCGGTCATACTTCACCGTCCGATCGACTTCGTGCCTATATCTCAGTGCTGGCCATCGTCGACTTGACAGTTCTAATGGTGCTTCTTGTACGGACCATCTACCTCAGTGTTCCCCATCTTATGCTCGGTACTGGTGAAAATCCTTCTAAGAGCTGCTATAGTACAGTTCTACTGTACTTGTTTCAGACACAAACAGTTGCCGTGCAATGTTCGTCATCGAGCAAGCAGTGAAATTGGCTTCACTGACGTTACTGTCCTGTATCAGCGTCGAACGCTATATTACCATTCGAAAGCCGTTTTGTGGACAGGTTTGTATGCATAATATTTGGTATGGGTCAGTTTAGATCGGTACCGACTCCTTTTTCGACGAGATACGCTACGCTTTCGATTTTTTCACCTTGTGATGGAAGGGGTTGGAATGCACATCTGCCTTATATCACGAATCTGAAAGTGGATAGAGCAATGAACTGTCCTATCCCTCTTGGTGGAGATTTTCGCCTAGTGGTGATAAGTTAGTAGTAGTAACCCACTTTGAAAAAGTAAAACAATGGCTTTGGCTTTTCTGGTCCATAAACCGATGTGTTGGTCTTACAAGCAGTGAGATGGTTCCGATAATCCGGCAAAAGCCGAATTCGTGGCGCATTCTGGAAGGAGGCCATTCAGCGCTTTGCATCTAAATATTTGCAATTTGCATGTGAACCTTTTGTAGGTTCGCAAACGATTCATCAAAATGACACCGATTGTCGCTTTGCTACTTCTTACTGCAGTAATTGTCGCCATTCTAGTACAGGTAGGTTCTGGTAGTTAGAAACTTCTAGAAACTTTTATTTGCTGATTTTTGAACTGATTTCAATCATGATTTTTAACCCGAAGTAAATGAAGTAGTCCTGTTTTCTGAAACTTTTTCGAACGTTTTCTTATAGTTTTTCTTTTTTTCTGGGTGGATTCATGAGAAATGTGCTATATTTTTGATAACTTGTGAAAATTTTATAAGTAAATCTTGCGTTTTCATTGACGACATTCGAATCAATAAAATCAGATCGATAAATCAGCAGAATGTTTGATTCAAGCATATTTAAGTCGAAGTGCATATTGAATAAACAAGTAGTCAAGTAGGAGTGTATACAGGTCCAATCGGTGCTGACAACCCCTGACAGTATGAACTGTACTCGAACGAGTCGAGGAAGGACGATACCACGTTTGGGAGCCTATCTGACTGCCATAGCATTTCTCTCCAATCTCACAACGATATCCGTCAATTATGGACAAATTGTACGACATGTTAGGAGGAAGTTCATCAAACGAAAAGCCAGAGGTCAGTCTTAAATGTTCTTTGCTTTTTTTCGAAAAACTACGATGAATACGAGCATTACATAGGGCCTAGCTTCCTATCGAACCCTTATAGAATTTTTCAGAAACTGTTTTTGTGTTTTTTGGAGAAACCGAAGTCTTTTAATACGTTTAGACTTCTTTCTCGAACTGTCCGCGCGCGGAAATTTCGCGCCGTATCCTGACGCTGCACACCATGAAGTCTTATTTCATGAATCGGTTTATCATTAAACCTTCCAAACTTCCAATCTTATTATCACCTTGACATTCTCTGAGCCTGTCGAACGCATTAGGTGGTCGTGGAATTTCTACAAGCCGACCTTATCAAATGAGCAAAAATCAGCACCTGCATACTAGACAGCCACTAAACAGCTTATCGGGAGATTTCCTCTAAAGATAGTTAAAAACCAAAAATCGCAGAGATTAGCGAGTTCACGTGCTGTCTGATTAATAGAGATCATAACGAAGATTTTTTTCTTATTACTCTTTGACCTGATGTGAAGGGATTAAAAAACGAAGGCTATAATCTCATCACGTGGTCGGTTAATCTCTTTTTGGTGTACGTCACGAACATATGGTAAGAAAGTCAAATTGCATCAATTAGCTGAAGTTATACGTCCCCGAAGAGCTCTGAATGGGTGCAGTGCCCTATGATCGAAATCGTCGCGTCGCGGCGAGAGCGACGCCGCGCGCGAAGGAATACAGCCGGATGCAGCAGCGGGTAAGAAATACAGGAACAAAAGAAGTGACAGTAGGATTATGCCTAGAATAATGATCCCATATCGATTGAGCTCTATGAAGGACACAAGAGCTGAAACGACTTCGAAGCGAATGGTACGCGACAACCGCGTGCAGCGGATCGATTACATAGAACCGATCCTACTGCCCGTCTCCCGCTCTGGATTACTCAGGAGACGATTCAACCATAGGAGGCTTGAATGGCTCAGTTAGTACTCGGACTGGGATCCCAACATTTTTGTCGCGAACGAGTCCTGAGTAAAAGCCCCTAAGGAGTGTCTACGCACCCTTTTGAGCCAATCACTAGATATATCGCTACCCCGCATCGATCGATTTGTTGAGCTAGGCACCCTGAACCTGTAACAGACTCTTTCCCCTCCATTCAGAATTGGTGCATTACCTTGTAACCTACACCGTTGAAATCAGCATAAATAGCACTATTTGCCGATATGTCGGTCAGGTTGGAAAAGCCGAAAATGGTCTGTATTGATCTTCAGACCTTCGGATTATGGTATAGAGGATAGGCTGCTTTGATTCCCAGCACCAAAGGTCTAAAGGGAAGGGTCTCGTCGAAATCGAGGGGTTGGCAAAAAAATCTGACACAATGGCAACGAGGAGAGCGCAGACAACAGGNTTCTCCTCTGATTTTTTTGCCAGTCCCTCGATTTCTATTCCTAGGCGCTTTTCTGCTATTCTCTTGACGCCAAAGATCAAGGCAATCAATTCTGTGCGCTCGGGTCCGGGAACTTCTCCCCTATTACGGCGTCGCACACGCCGCACCCGCCGCCTATCGCACGATTGCGATGAAAGATTGGAGCGCGCAATTTGTGAGGTAGGGAGTCCTTTAATCATTTGAATTCGCTGGTCGCTCCCTTCAATTTCAATGCGGTATTGATCGTCGTTTATATAAGAGGAGTCATTTTAATTAATCAAGTCTAATAAACATGAAAACTAAAAAGAAACAGAAGAAAAAACGATAAAATCCAATGAAAAAGCAAGCCAGTCAAGGAAAAATATCGCGTCCTATCGATTTTCGGGAGTCGGGGTGAGTACGGTAATTGCAGTGACATTTGCCGCATGCCGCAAGGGAGAATGCCGCGATAGGGGAGAAGTTCCGTTACCCCTGTGCGCTCACATCTTGAAGATCTGAAGATCAAGAGGAAAACATTCCTGGATTCTCAACCATAATTTATGTATACTTGGAAAGAGCCAAAATCATCTATTCTATTCATGAAGTCCGTTTGGCAAATGATCAATTTGAAAAGAAGTCTTTCGAGGAACTCAATGATACCATCATATCACTCTGATTGTCGAGAGTAGGAGCTTTTCCGCAACCCTTCATAGAAGATGTGCCGCTGAGGAAATCGACAAATCGATAATTTGCCCGAATACTCATACGTATCGATTAATTGAAAACCGGTACTTCATAAAAATTTTACGGCGGCACTGATTGCGGTCGAAAGCATGGCGTATCCCAAGTGAACGCCATGCTCCAATACTTTAAACATCAAATGCCCTACCTCTTGGGTATTGTTCTACAAAACTTTCATATGTTGGTTTTCAGTGGTCGCTCATTCTCGAACCATCAGAGAATCATTGGTAAACGAGCCCCGATATATGCGGGAGATGACGAATGCCATCATTCGGGTGTTCGCCTTCCACGTCATCTGCTGGCTCCCCTCATGCCTCATCCAATTTCTGCCTGATTTCGGTCTGGTCTCCGAGCTCATCACTTCAATACGGCTATTCAACAATTTCACTGATTTCAGGTAATTTTTAGCTACGCTTGCTATTTTACTGTGTAGGAATTGACCAGTTAGTATTTTCAGTACTATGCGATGGGTAATATTCATAGCCAACTGGTTAACATATGCGAATGCGGCTGGAAATTGGATATTTTATGCAGCTATGAATCGTGAATTAAGGAGTCTGATAAGGTAAGTTACCCAGGTGCTTGGACGGCTGTAGAGTAGACATTAGTAGTTGCTACCCGATCAAAAGACATTGTAAACGGCTAAGCAGACTCTGAAAAGGAATCTACGCCTCCACAGAAAGTTCCGCCCCCATATCGATCAACCGTGGAAACAATACTGAGCCTGCAGAATCCGTTTTAGGCAAATAAGCATAAATTTAATCTTTCCAACCTTCCGAGGTTTCCCAAATGGGTTCGGTCTATGAGAACACGTGATTCATAAGTACATAATTTGATATATCGTGGTTGATAGAATGAATCAAACACTGCTTCGTCCTCTAAGATGCTTATTAAATTTTTATCTCAAAAAAATGAGGGAAGAAATATACTGTGACTTAAGATTCGCAACAGAGCGAAGGAAAAGATCTACAATGTCCCATACAACAGCATCGCCTTCTAATATGCACCGTAATATTCGTTCACAGGTATGAAAAGGTCACTTCAGCTTTTCTTTAGATTCCATAGTCCAGTTCGGATGGTTACAGGTCACGGCTTCGATGAGAGTGCTTCAATCGCTTTCCTATCGTAGCAGTCTGGGTGGTTCACTGGATGAAGTCACCTGTCCTCCTTCATTGATACAGCTCTCACCAAAATCGTCTACATACAGTCAGGAACAAGTAAGTAACGTAACCACCACAATTCTGATTTTGGGTCGATTAGGAGCTATGTAGCATGAAAGCCTATATCCTCGGAATCATCATGCAGATCTACAAGAATGAAAAAAATGTCCGCCACTGTGTGAGACCGGTCAACTCTACTTACTGTCCTGCCCCGGATAGGGTAGCGTTCATACATCGTTCCTGCGATGTACAAACTGTCAAGTGAATCATTTTCCTTGGATAAGGGGATTTGACAAAATGCATAAATAAAGGAATGAGTACATTGGATACAATAGCTTGAGTGTTGGTCTAGGAGGGAAGTGCGAATGACAGCTGGTCTGTCGGGTGGAGATGACGAAACCTCGTTAAGTCGAGCTGGAATTTTGCGGCTGATTTCTGACATCTTGTGGGTTTGCAATGAGATTGAATGGGGAATTGAAGAGATTAAACGATCTCCCACCGAAGAGCAAGGTTATGGAGTTGACTATTCGAAAGCGCTAGCTGTAGAAAGGAAAGAATCAATATTTTTTCGAGCTCAGTATAAAAGACCTGACTTGTCTAGGTGTAAAAACTGCGAAAAAAGTTTCATAAGCATTTTTCCTGAAAATTTTTGTCGTGATTGTTTGACGAATCACACTGGCTCTGGTAGGAGCAGTTTGAGGGAAGGAAGGGTCACCTCCTTTATAGATTTCGCGTCGTTCCTGGTCTGCATTTCGTCCCAGAAAACTACCTCTTATGTTTCTGATCATGAATTTTGGTACTCTTTGAATTCGATAAACTTATCCTGGCTACTTTTACTCAAATTAACTCTGGATTTGATTTCAGAATAACAGCCCAATCACTGGACGTACGAAAACAAGCCTGAATTCGTCTCGTGAAATGGTCTAGGAACCGGCTTCACATTCCTCAATAGGACGTCCGTCGTTTTATTTGAATTGCATTTTCCGATCTCTGTCCAGCTCAGTTCACCTCACTGATGATACTGCTTAATTTATTGCTTTCCCAGGACTGCTTTCATACTTTGGGCGTTCACTTCTATGCATGTGAAAAATGGATATCGATCACTCGCGCGCAACAATGATTAGCCCTCCCTCACCCGCATGGTTCTGGCTGAAGTATGAGAGCATCCCGTCGTGTTTTACTCTTCATTTTCACTCTGCTCATCTTCATATGTAAATACGGCCCTCAAACGGGTATTGGCGAAACTTAACTGCTGTTCTTTCCAACATTCCTTTTGACAATCGGCAAAAATCATGAATGAGATGGGAGCGGGCGCTTGCAAGACGGCGTTGGGCGCTCACAGTTCCGCTCTTAGTGACTTGGAAGGGTGCCAAACGCCCGCTTACATCCCATTTATGAGCTCTGCCATCGATTTTCAAATGAGCTACTCCAAATAAGAATCTATGCGTGTGTGTAAAACAATTTTGGCATAAATTTCTGTAGGTTGAAAGCTGTATATGATAGCTCAATAAAGTACAATTTGAAGAAATTTTTACATCTCCTACAACATCGCTCTCGATGGTGGTGAGGGTGGAGGCGCCACTACAGCACACATGGACCTTCTGGATCAAATACCACTACTGACTTGGAAAGCTTCATCTGGCGAATGGCCAATTTGAACAATGTAGTTCAATAGGAAATGGCAGCAACCACATCGAGCTTTTGTATTGCCTCAGATGGGTTCGAACATACAATTAGGTGTCTGTTGTGTGTCACTAGAAACTTGATTGATAGATATCGATTGATTGAGGATGCCTTCGATCATTTCTGTCGGGCACTGTGCCATATCGATTGAGTTAGAACCATAACAGCTCCACCCCATAAGCCAAGCTATGAGGCTAGTATTCATCCAAGCACCACTACCATCCTGAATTGTTTCCCAAACACAACAACCAACTGAATGTCAACGGTTTATTCTTCACTAGTAAGTTTTTCCGTAAGAAGACAGCCATCATAATGGCCGTTCCTTTGCGGATCTCGGATTATAACCCCTTTCTGATTCGCTGATGAAAACTCACCTGACAATGAGTAGCTATAAGTGATGCACGAGTTCCAGCGCGCGTGCGTGAGCTCCAATCAATCAATAAAGTAAGCTTGAACGTTATTTTACCTTGCACACCGTTAAAGTCGTTTATCCAGCCAATCTGACAAAACTGTTAGGAAGAAATGAAAAATGGAAAAACTACAGATGAGTCAATCAGTTTTATTGGATTTTTAGGCATTTCTATGACATTGGCCAATCAAATCAATGTAAGTAATTAGATTTAAGGATTGAACAATAATAGAAATATTTAAATTTGTTTAACATTTTGGTGAGTAGCAGATCACGGCAAAGAAGCAACACGTTTGGATATGATTGATAGAATTCTTTTTACGATAGGTACTTTTTCGGATACCATTTCTGTTTTCAAAAATGACGAGACTTCCTTAATTTCTTCTTCCCAAAAAGATTTTCTGATAGTTAACAGCTTGGAGATATCGATTTTTAACCCCTAAAGTCAAGCTAGTAAATAAAGATCCATCGAATGTTAGATTTCATTGTAGGGCAGTAGACACGCTCGTTGGTGGGCGGGGTTCCCCACGTCATAACGCTGTTCTTATTGGTGCTCTGTCAATCAATCGGAACACACAACACAAGAACAGCACTGCAGCGTCGTCCCTGGTCTGCCCACAGCGAATTACGGTTCCTTGAGAATGCCTTGCTGAGCAGGTGTTGCCCAGGGGTAATGCCTGTTACCCAGGAACCTGCCAACATCCTTCAGCTATTAACTTACCTCTGTATTTAACTTCTTAGGCAACACTCCAATAGCTGCATTCGTTGTAGGCGTTTCATTTGGTGCAATACATCTAGGAGATGTACTTTCTGGTACGAGCTCCATCTTTGAATTCTTGTGGGTGTACCTATTCAAGATCCATTCTAGTACTCGTATATTCTCCCTGAATCCTGGCCAAATCGGTTTCCCATCTGGTCCTTCTTGATACCAATTCACCATAAATATCCTTGGCATCTGAAAAAGATGGCATGAGCCTATCTTTCTCGTAACCTGGCGGACAGTTGCCTAACCTCGTTAACGTTCGCCTTAATATTAAGCCAATGTTCAATGAGATCAGCTAAATCGAATGACAAGTATGTTCTCATACATAAAGGATTGTGGACGAGTGTAGCGGCTGAAATGAATGTAAATGAAAGGAATTCAGAGATGCGCCATGGACTCGAGGCCCACTCCAGATCGTAAACGCATTTGAATGCGTATTCAACTCCTACAAAAGTCTATGAACTTCTAGAATAGTCATTCACAACTTCTCAGCGAGTTGGCCTCTAACGATTTCGACTTTACGATTAGGCATCAATCAATATCTATATTTTGTATGTGACCAGCTTTAGCCATATTCACTCCTACAGCCGTGCCTTTAGCTATCACTACTATCTCTACTTCTTACTTCCGCTTTTGTGTATAGCCTACAAACCAAATACCCATTATTTATAATGATCGCTTACTTGGCTGGTCAATAGCGCTAAGTGAAACGGTTCGGAGTCCTGCGGCCATCACAACACCATGTTCCCACGACTCCGTTTCATAGATGAGAGGCATTTCATCAGGTCGCTTACAACCGAAGACCAAACTGCAATCCGGTACAAAAAACATGAAAAAGACATGCTCGGTTGATTAGGATAAGAAATGAGCTCACAAGCTAATCGGTACTCCTGCTGAAAGCTCCCAATCTGGGTGCAAGTTCGGTGCAGAACTCATAAATACACTATAGCGACAATTCAAATGATTCGGTGGCCTAAAATAAGTGCTTAAGCTGTTCGCAAGCAATACTTTCATCTTCAAGGCCTATTTGGTGGGTGAGATTGTCTAGAGCAACCTGTGTTTGGGAGAGTTTCCAGAGCGTAATGCAGAATCTAGCAGAAATCTAGCAGAATCGGCAGACCTTTTCTCATCAGATTTCCATTCCTCTTTTTTCCAGTCGCTGACTTTTTCCTCTGGCTCCAAAGTTTCCTTCAGGGCTTCCCAAAAAAATCGACCCTTACTTGTTGTACCACAATTCATCAGAATCGCCTCCCTCTTGAGCATCTGGAAAACAAGAAGAAAGTGATTGTGGAAAGATAGTTTAATGGTGAAAGGCGGCCAGGTGTATCTCAACAGATCATTGGATCAAGCCCTTTGACCCAAGCTGTTTTTTCTACATCTTTCGTGGACCAGTGGTATTGCTACCAACACAATACCTCGAACACGTTGGGTGCGTTTGCATGGGTCGCACCCGTGGGACAGCCAAACATTCCGTACTCGGGTGCGAAAGCATACATCACCCGATTCTCACCGCATCGAATCCACGCAATGTCGTCTCCAAAGACGCGAACCTGCAAGAGTAACAGTTTAGGCTAAAGATGAGGCCATCAGTGCTGCAAAACTCCTACCTGCCAGCCTTGGATGGACGGTGTCATAGTCGCGATCTGTGTCTTGCCGACACCGTAAGGGAATGAGACACAACCGAACACTTCTTTACCGGCAGGATCTGTAAGAGGTATGAAATGGACTGGTGCGATTTTGTGGCACGCTACTTCTTTACTAGGCGAAAAAATCGATCATCCGCTCGCTGCAGCAGGCGCTGCTACTCGTGGCGGTAATCGATATCTACATTAAACATTAGCGACCGATAACTATCGACAAAAGCTCAAAAACTCACTTTTGACAGCAATAAGAGCCGCGTTTATTGCAAGCCAGCCTTCTTTCCAACCACGATAGGACGCCAGACGCAGTCCGAGTGATTTCTTACTCAGGAAAGCATTTTCACCGAAGGCCGACCCAAACGACCATATCTGAAGGCGAAAAAGGGTCACCTTCTACCTAAGGAAACCCCTGCCTAGAGTGAATTGTCAGTTTGGAATGCTCTGTGATAAACTTCTTTCCAATTGAACTGCAAAATATAGAAAGTGGTAGTAACTATGTAAACAAGTAAACAAAAAAGCGTGTTGTTTTTGAATACATCAAACCTCGAGCCGCTACAAACACAAGAAAACCTAGGCGAACTGAGTTATACTAGAAATTTAATCGCTTTTCCCCCTTTCACAAGTGAAATGATCATTTCGCTGATCTTGCCAGCCCTACTGCTCATAAAGGATCAATCGATAATCAGCTCTCACCTCGTTGTCCAATGGGCGGAGGGCAAGGAAGAATCGATCCGGATTGCACAGCCACTGCAAAGCATATGATAACACTATCGATGAAATCCATTCACACCAGATATCTCTTTGGGTCCCAAGACGATTCCAGATTACAGGTAAATTTCAACTTGTGCAGGATACACCTTTTGAATCGATTAGAACTTACACCGCATTTGGAAGGTTTAGTAATGGGACGAGGTCTTCCGATGGAATGGATGCATCGTACAAAATCAGCCTGTCCAATAGCATCCCAAATCGAAGAAGACACTCTAAATGGCAAAGGATCTAATTCCGATTCCATTTTGGGTACGAGTCAATTCTTATTTGGCTTTGTTCGAGTAACTTGGCTCGAAAGATTGGCCTGGCAGGTGCGTAACATTCTTATCTAATCGATTTACATGTATTTAAGCGGTGTATGTCATGGAATCGTGCCTTGCATGTACTACAAATTAGGTGATCGTATGTCACAAGGTCATATCTGTAAGCTATTTTTTTGGTTCTCTGGTCGGTTTTCAGCTCCTTCGAATCAGCCAATCCCCACTTACTCAACAACCACCAGGAACTCGCCTTGTTAGTATCCTCATGTTGAGCACCACAAAAGGAGAATCAGTCAGTTGTACGGCATAGATCGAGTAACGTCCTCCAATTGGTCCCATTGAGAATGGAATCACATACCTGAAGATCGGAGAACGTCCGTTGCGCGTGTCCGTCGAAAGTAGGTCACCTCGCCCACTTCGCGCGCGGCGCATCACACTGAGGTCTCGAGATGACATTACAGTACCACCAAGTGTAATTGGAGCAAATGATTTGCATTTGTCTGTGTTATCTTCTTGTTGAACTGACTGCCGTGGACCAANCGCAAAGCGTATGCCTAAGTGACAATTGCGACGTCTGTCAAATATCGCGGGCCGACTCGCCGCGTGCGACGGCTGCGGCGTGACCTAGTTTCGACGGACACGCGCAACGAAGCGCACCCCCTGAAGATCACCTTGGTAGTTAGGTGATAGCTATTCATGTTTTTTACGTTCCGTACTCAAGATTGAGATTTTATCACACGCTCCGCCCCTATCCGCCATGCTCCGCCCACTAGTTTTCTTAGTTGATTCTTCGTAGGACCTATTTGTAGAGAGAGATTTTGCAACTTTATGTTGTTAAAGGCTGGAATTTCTGTGAAATATCTCAGGACTCACATTACCCTTCCCTGCATGCATCCAGTAAAGCGTGAGTAAACCTGAAAACTGAACTGTGCCGGTGAAATCCAACGAGCCGTAGTCCATGAAGGATTTTGTTGCTTTCTGAAAAGATGGCATTTCAAATGCATAAACTCGAGTCCATATACATGCGCTGATGGTGAGGCCAGCCATTCGTTAATCACTTTTGGGAATCGGATGAATATCTTGACTCTTATCGATCTTTTTTTTGGTATACGCCACGTCATCCTCTTAGGATCAGAATTGTAATGGCCCTCGAACTAGTATAGTGGATTTGTAATATCTTGTTGCGCAGCTGACGGCAAATTATCGTAATCCATGTCTCATTGGTATGTCGAATATCAAGCAACCGAGCGATGAGTTAAGCCTCATATGACTATGGCAGAGAGCCAGTCCCGGGCAGTAGGAGCTTCTCGCCACTGTCCCTACATCCTTTCTTCGGCCTTAACTACACTACACAGTGCCGGAAAAGCGATTTTGATATTTTTTCATTTCTAGCCCTTATAAGCGCTATAAAATCCCTTCTGCCACCCTTCAATACCTTGCTTATAGGCCTTTGGGAGAGGTCATAGAATACGGATAGCAGGTTACCTTATAACTTGATTATCTATTATTTTGAACCATTCCCCAAGTGGATGGTGAATCCTAATCCCTCTTCATTGAAAGCTTCCTTCGACAGTTGTCTCAAACAGTACCTGGCTTCCTGTATATCTTCCAATCTTGTAGAGCATATGTATACAGGTCTTTCTACACAATCCCGAGGATCAGTTCGAGCAACGAAAACTTCATCATAGCCGCTAAGCTTCTCCAGTACACCTAAAATATCGACAAGACAAAGATCAACCAAATTCTGATCCCATGGAAGAAAATGCGGGCGTATGTCATGGCAATGTCTTGACGATGATGATACGCCCAAGTGTTATAGCCCTGTTTGGTTCTTCCGACACTTCTTGGACTTTCTAATACTTTATTTAGTCTGCTATTAATTCGTTTATTTTTTTCTCATTTATGTAATTTTATTTCTCGATCCCAGTTTGTGACTGAAATAAAGATTGACGACGTTTTTAGTTGCCTGAGAGCTTACCCATTTGTTCCAGAGCTGCACTGAGATACTCAGCTTCACCAAAAGAGCCATTACAGATATGTATCGCTGCAGGACGCATCAATTCTACATTGAATCCAACAAAAGCCTATGAAATAACTGTTGATGAACATGCAGGTTTTTTCAGTGCATTGATCGCATACCCTAGCTCTTCTAGGTAACCATTTTGGATCACCGTTTATCACCGGCACCGATCCGTATCCTTCAACGACAAAGTCAGTTTTGACCACATATGGTGCTGATATGGTGCTGCACAAAATGGCTTGCGATCGTCTGCTCGCTCATTAGGGAAACCTGAAGAAAGGAAATCACCCTGAGTAATGGATATCCAGATGGGGCCGGCATTGGCGAGTCCGTGTACTATGCTACCTTCCGTAACTAAATAGTTGCCGGCGTAAGCTTTCTGTAAGTGCTCACTACAAGGAGTCAAGGAGTAAGCCAATGAGATTGAAGCATCACGATCATGCAAGCCTTTTCTGGTCAAAATGTATAGGATTTTTCTGAAACCCTTCGAATTTTTGTTTTTTGAAGCTCTATTTTTTTCCAAAGCATGATCCAGTTCGTTTCGATCGCTTCCTTTCTCAAAAGCCAACTGGCTGGGGAGGCGAATTTCATCGTCACGATTGTATCTATATAGTGCTTTGGGTAAGCAGAGTACCTCGACTGTACTGGTAGTGGTTTGAAACCTTCCAAGTCGGAACGTCCTTATCACGCCATAGCGGTTGACGGTTGTTATCATCCTTACGTGCCACGCCTCTACCGTACCATGCCCAGGGTGAACGATCAAAATGTTCGCATGCCGTAATCCTGTGCCCTATTGAACGGCCGTTCACCCAAACTGATAATAAGGATAAGGCGGATTACATTCTCCTTCAACTCGTTATCAGGAATTACCCTATCAGAAGTGAGCCCGTAACCCGGGAAAGTTTTGGGAAGGTAAGATGGTCCGAAGTCCGTACGGTATTCCGCGAGGCAAAACTAAGAGCTAGAATCGCTGCTCCATGAGAGGATGGGGACCATCGCTACGCAACACTCGCTACAGACGGAACCTGTGCTCACTCGCTCTGACAGAGGACGTTCCTGCAGAGCGCATCACCAGAATACCTAAAAACACGATAGGCAGTTTTCCAGCACCTTCCATTGACCACCTACAACCTCTCCCTAACCTCCCCTCCATTCTTCCAACTGCTCACTTGAATCGATTGGGTGGTAGAGAGTAAGGATCAACCAGTAGCAGGGAAGCAACGAGGAAAATGGCATCATCCATATGAAGTCATAGATTATCCATCAGGATATGCATGCAAAACATAGATATTGATCAAATCTGGAGCCGATATCACTACAGACGGCTCATCAGTTATCAAAAGGTTAATCTGCCTTAATATGACTCGGAAGGTGGTCTGTCTAATCCAATTATCAGCTAAGTCGATTATATCAGCGAATTACTGCAATGCTACCAGTCTGGCTCCGGATTGGACTTTTTTTTCGGATCCTGAGGAAGTAGAAAAAACTTTTGGAAAAGATCGAAGTACGCAAGTAACATGGCGTACAGTTTATCAACCTGTCACATGCAACTTTTTGTTTAGAAACAGAAGACAGAAGCAAGACTCCGGCGCCGTTATCAGGGCCGTTGAATTCCAGTGGGATCATTAAACAGAGTTGGAATCATAGAACCCGATGATTGAAGTTCTTTTTAGAAAACCGCACGTCCATGAAAAGTAGAAAAAACCGCAGAAAAAACTGCTCACCACAGAAGTCACAGTTCGTCACACGATCCTTGACATATTCATAGGGCGGCTTTTTGTCCGCCATGGTTAAGAATTCGACCAGGCGGTCGATCAGTCACCAGTTGAGGGTTAGTCCAAGTGGAGAATAATGCATACCCAGCTGTTGAGATGTTGATGTTTTCCAAAGTAATAATCCCAAATATCTGATAAAACTTATCATTTCAGCTATCCTCACTCACTACGAACCAATCCTTCAGCGTAGTTGTTTTGTCCGCTCCTTACCCAACTCAGATTGTACCTAGAGGAACGTGAAGGGCGGAAATACGCTGGAGTTTCGGCCTCATCTCAACGAGCACCTCTCCATATTCGATCAATATGTATGATCACTGTGGGTGCTCTTGCATAGTACTGAACTCCTGCTGCCTCGTTTTGACTTCTATCAACACTAGCCGCGTAGCGATGGGCAAACAGGTCAGCTTACCCAGATCGACTAAGGTGACGGGAGATGTTGGTACCAATGACGAAGAATTTGGGAATCACCGGTCACGCATCCATTTGATCGAGAATTCCTTTCCAAGTGTTAGATATTACCAGATACAGTAACCCTAAGAGGCCGTAAAAATGCCATAAAGTAAATAACAATCAAGCATTCCTAGGATTCCAACATGAAGTGAAAGCTCAGTACGTATCTATGGGTAGTCAAGTCAGGAGGTTTTATTCATCATCTTTACATGATTAGGCCTTTATGAGACAATTTAGTGGTTATTGTGCAGGAGTGCAGAGCCCCAGAGACGCCCATAAAAACAGATTTGAAGAGTCAGCAAGTCAAAGAAAAACTCTTCGAATTTCGGCATAAGCCGACACATGCTGTCACTGTCGGCGCCGCGAAACTGAATAGTGACGGTACAGAGCGGAAGGCATCAAAGAGCATCCTCCGGATTCTGCAGAATTTCATTTCACGGCGGAATGTTACTTGAATGCACAAGTTTTCCGCGACGCATGGAAAAGGAGCTTTGGGGAAGGGCACGGGTTGGGTGGCTGGGCATTCAGGGGATCACGTGGTACGTTTTTGAAAATGGCGCGCAACTACGCTGCGCTCCAATGCTAGAGAAATAAAAGGCACATAACTAAAACCGTAACGCAGCCGTACGCTAGGGGCGGAAGATACTCCTGATGCCTTCCGCTTTGTAGCATTCATCGAAACTGAATCGGTCCGGCTAGAACCCATCGTCGCCAAAGTTGAAAGGTCCCGAGACGATCAGGCAGTTTGTTTTGCAGGAATGTACCATGAATAAGTGTGCTACAGTATCAGCCTCAATGGCCCTTGCCCCTTACTCCAAAAAAATTACCGACTAAACAGGATCGTATAGTTCCCAATAAAGGAAGGGAAGGGGTCTTCAAATCGGAAAATCATTGATATACTTGATTCCAACTCGTATTCAATGGTTGTAAGACACTCGAGCCTTCACAAAGGCACTCGGTTACTGCATTCTGCAGGGTCGTCGAAACTTTATTTGGACGAGAAATCTCGGCTTTCCCTGAAGTCTCTTTTCGAATCTTCCCAGAACGGAATAGATAACAAGTGTAACCACAAGGGGTTTTTGTTCGTGTGTAGTGGGTGCGTCCTAAGCCGATTACTTTTGTCTTTTTCTTCTTCAAGTGAACCGTTCTACCAAAAAATGAACGGTTTTACCAAAAAAAAANAAAAAAAAAGACTAATCTCCTTTGATAGCACTAATCAGCCACCAGAAATCGACACACAAAACATTGCACTTTTGAGCTGCTAAAGGACGGAGGTAGAAACATGCGTGGGGCCCATCGACACACATGCCAAATATGACAGGAAAATCTGATAATCTCTGAAAAAAAATACGGTAGTCCTGTGATCTGGACGAGGATTATGGTGCCGGGATTGATACGGTGGTTGTGAATAACCATGCGGTCAGATAAGATCGTACTGAAGGGCTTACACAGAGTCTCATCGACAGATTTTATAACAATTTTTTAATTCTTAATTTTGCAACTTTGTTAAATCAATTATGTTTTCAAGTAAGGCGACAAATTTCCACTTTTACTCCGTTTCCGAATCGGTCAACAAGTTGAACCCGTATGCAGGTCATGTTCCTTTGGGTTCGGTCTACAGGAAGGAGAAGGCTTATTCAAGGTGAGGCAGGACCTAGGACCATATCCTTCAGTTGTGGAAAGGCTTCAACAAGTCGCAGACGAGCGAAGTGGAGGTTTGGCTTGTTTATCGCCATCAGGTGGGATCATGCTCACCTTAGGCAGGCAGCTCTGGTGGGTTGGAATAGGGACTCGTTGGTATACTGCAGTGAAGTACCGTACCCCTAATGCCAAGAATTCGTTGTAGAGAAGGAGAGTTCGGGCACAGTGGGTGGAGTTTTCTACGACGCACGTGGCACAAATATATAAACAAGTCCCGGATACTGTTATGTATCTCGAGTAAATCAGCTGATGATAGGAGGCACGAGGTTAACACAAAAAATTGAACCACGCCACAAAAGGGCAGCCNGGCCCTTCAACCTTTCCGTACCATCAATTTTGGACAGAAATCCTTCAGAGTACGTGCCCCATCGTGTAACGGATTAGTGAATACCATACCCAGGTGAACTATTCTAGGTAATTCCGGAAATTCGACTTCAAAAACGGTACGTGCTTTACTACCGCTGTTATCAGTTGAGGAATTACTTCAATCGAATTCCATTCGACGTCGCCTGATCAAGACAAAAACGTTATGGAAAAAATACAGATTAGTTGACAGATGCCTGTTGACAGACTCAGAAGCCTCTGCTTGCACTAATTATCATGCCTTATAAAAAAGGGTCCTAAGCTGGACACTTCAGCTCAAGTTAAAATGCTTGCGCCCCGTGCCCTACTAGTTTTTGCCCTCGCAGCGGCTGTCCTCGCTGAATCAGCCAATGAACTACAGGTAAAAAGACCGGTCTATACTTAGACGCCCTTATCCGCTTATCTCAGGGGTTTTACTTCGCGGACTTTCAGAGGTGGACACAGGAAACGAAATGCAGCTGCTGCAAAGTCATTATGGGCGACATCAAAACGATTGTGATCAACATCACAGGCAAACTTGAACCCGTCCTCCAGAAAGCCATTCAGGTTAGTCGACTCGATTCTATGAAGTTTACATGGACTTTTTGCATAGAATAAGTGAAAAGAGTTGGGAACACAAAACTCGACCATTCGGGCCTTCGTTAAAAAACCGTCCTCCTATCAGATGTCGAAAAAATGTAGAAGGGACTACTGTGTGTCGAACCATGGATACTAATTTTTAAAAGAATTTTTTTAACCTAATTTTTGAAAGAGTTTAGTGGTATCCCCTAGTTGTACACCTATGTGGTCAGGGTTAGTGTGAAGGACAGATGAATAAATTTTTGACCACAGCCCCGCCCCCGTCTTTGCAAATCCCACCCACTTCAGACTTCGAACAACATTACTTTTATTACCTCTACACACCTTCTTCCCGCTATCTAAAACGCATCTGAAGAGACATAATAATCTGATGTAAGCCCCGCCCACTCCAGTGCCAACTCCGCCCACATCTGGTTTCCCGTTGAACATATAAACATACATACATACACACCATGTTTGTGGTTTATATATAGAAAGGATTTGGCTGTCTATGTGACTCCATTTCGTAAACTTTTTATTTATGGCCTCCTCCCTCTTCCTTTATGACTTCCACTCATGAGCAAGTGATAACTCTTATCAATATGATGACGCTCAGATTCTAGAGACTATTTCTAGTAAGACGAATTGTATGATTGCCAGTATCTAAATAGACAATTTAGGAAGTGCTAGTGTACATTGTAGAGAAGAATGAGCCTGGGAACTACACTATAAGGTACTCTACCAGCTCTTTATTCGAGGGGGTGATACCTTGAGCCGCCCAGGGAGCCGCATTTTACCCATTTTCCTTGGAACCTGTTCCCACTACTTCCTTTCGGTCAGATAACTCCTAAGAAACTCGACCTAAAAACAAAGTAATGCTACACATCGACCAATATTTGGTTACTATACAACAGTAGCCACTTTGAGGTTGCTTGCCGACGCTACGTCATGATTGAACCATTCGAAAAGATTTGCGAATACATCGGTGAGACTCTGCTTCATCCACTCTTCGAATGGCTCTTGAAGAAGGAAGGAGAAATCGATCCCGAATTCGATTGCCAGTACATGAAATACTGCCCACGTCCAAAGGGCTTCGAAGTATTCCTTCGCATGCTCAAGGTGGCTGATGTACCTGACTTCCATTAGGCTAGTATTATCAGATATGAATAAACATATGTATACAAACTGTGT